CGTAGTGCAACCCCCAAACGGAGTAAGTCGATGGAACACCACACGGAAGGGTTTGAGGCTTGCTCTACCCTGGACCTACCCTGCAATGGAGATTTCTTCCTGGCTGATGTAGGGTTACTGGTAGAAGATGCAGGCAAAGAACCCCTAGACTTTGTTTACGGAAGGCGGTACAGGTTGGGGGAGGCGCAAGCGAAAGGTGAGATTAGGGATAAAGAATCTCTGATACCGAGAAAGGAAAAGGTCAGATCTACGCGACGCAACCTTCCTTGCGCATGCTGCTGGGCTAATGTAGACCGCCTCGACCACGTGTACAGTTGCACACAACCATTCATAGATCGAGATCCGGTGCCTTTGCGGTACGCGGGAGCTAATTGACTGGCTGAAGAATGAGGGGCAGAGTAAAAGTTCCTCACCATGAGATGAGTGCGACGAACCTATAGCCACTTCCACCCACGGATGCATTTGTTGTTGCTATGTGAAATGATACGCTCCGAGACACGGAAGAAGATTAACGAGGGGAGAATATAGGCATTGGCATAAAGTACATCATGAGATACGGTGGCAAACCGGCTGCTATTACAGCTTGCAGATAAGGGTACGTCAGGTCAGCCTACTATGACATGTGTAAGGTAACCCCTCCACGCGGCATCCTCCTCACCTCGTACACATGTAAACGCTGGGGCCATCATATCTCCGTCTCATTGGACCGTCCTCAAATCTAACAGTACCATCGATAAACCCAATTTAGAGTCATCAGCAGTCTGCACATTCCCTATCTACACCAAAGCCACCCTCTTTTATGCATCTTGTTCACTCGTCCGTCTCAACGCTAAGGCTACCACGTTCATCTGCGGCGTGGCTTCCCTCGTGGGCAATAAGCCATGGCATAGCGGCCTAAATGAGAGGGTGAAGACGGAAGCTCCTCACTCAGAATCCACTTTGCGCCGCCGGGGCTATCCCCACATCACGGAGAGGACCGAGAGACGGAATCTACCAAGCGGCCGGCTCGGTTCGGGTGTAACCAAAGGTATCCGTACCCGCTCCCCGCAACGGTTCAGCCTCTCCCTCTTCTTGAGCAATGTATGCGTACCTTAAGCTTTACTCCATACAAAAAAAAAGGTCTAAGTAAACGGTAAAGAAACGGTGTGTTGCACGATCTGTCGTGCCTGTTCACAGTCTGACCTCGACGAGTCATGCCAAAATGCCACTTACACCATCTTTTCCCCTCCTCTCGTCCCATCTCGTCGTAGGTCCAATCTCCCCCCTTCCTCCTCGACAAATCCTTGAGAGCCTATAAGAATTGCGTTCAGATTTACTCTCGACAACTAGCCTAACCCTAAGCTCTAACCCAGGCCAACCCGTGAACCATATCCCGACCCGACGCAACTCTACCGCAAAAGAAGGAGCCTGAGCATCCTTGTCCTCACCCTTGGGCTGATTCTAACATCACAAGAGTAAGGGTTTAGCTTTCCAATGTTTTGTCCTGGTCTGATGATTCGATCGTAGCGCGTCCGGAAGTCGAAGTCGGGGGAGACTTTCTACTTCCCAAGAGATTATCCCAAAAGCTATGATGCTCATTTTGAGCAGTTTTTCTCCCACAAGCTCGAAGGACTCTCCACTGCCCCCCCTATGGATCTCCTGGGATAAGTTATTTAGTTTGCGGGCAAGGGTGTAATACCTTATCCGTAGAGGGACGTGCTGATGTCTACGGATACTGTTTTCCACGAGGCCCTTGCGCCTGTGATCTCGTGCTCCCCTTCTCCCTGGAAGTGGCTCGTGGAAAAGGCTCTGATAGAGCACAGCCTCGTCCCGTTACTCACCACCTTACTTATCGTCTATTCAAATGTCGTAATCGTATTGACGCAAGACGAGCTTGCTCAGGTGATTAGTACCGCACGTGTGTCTCTAGATAGCCTTTTTGGAACACAAGTCCAAGTTCTAGTTGAGAGTTTTGACAGGCAAATTTTCTACACATTAGGTGACCCAATGTGTTTTGCCCATCCCAAAAGATTCAGTAGTGCTCGAGTATCCGCATCTGCATTACTCACTCAAGGTCGACTGTGTGTATCTCTACCAGACTTCTCTCCTGTCATCTGTCAAGTGCTCCCACCGGTCCGTCCATGCATCCCACAACCCTCAACGTCGACGTAGACCACCAAGCTAGAAAAACATCCAAGCAAAGTAGAAAATCTCCCTCGCATCCCATCGTCGGCATGGTTCGACAGTACCGCCGTTCCGTCATCTCTTCTTACTCGATTCATCGGCAACAGTTCGTCGGCGCTGAGACTTTTTTTTTTGGTTCTTTGGCTCACTATTCCAATTGCCCTTTTCGTTTTCTCCCCCATTCATTCATGTCATGGTGATTCCGGTCATGTCGGCATACAACTTCTCACCTTCGGCAGCGGCGAAAGCAAGAAAAGTGCCATATCTCGGACATGGTAAAGTCAAAGGCACGTTGCCGCCAAGGAGTAAATCGCGATCTTCGTCTTAAGTATCTCGTCAATCCCTCGTGGTTTCGCGAACTCGATGCCCCCTCGCGAGCTGTCACGTAGGCAAAAAGTCATATTTGAAGCCGTGCACACAAAGTATCGTGAACAGAACTGGAGTCTTGGCGACCATCCTTCTCTTCGGCACCTTGACATCACCGGTATAGCTTGCCGCTGTCTCCGCAAAATCTTCTTCCCCAGTCTACTTTGACGTTGTCAGCTCACGGAAACTCCAGGATAGATGTCACCCACGTGTTATCCCACAGGTACCTCCGAGAAAGTGCGATGTGCGGTCGCATGTCCGACCAATTCGGCTGTTCAAACACCATCATCACCACCATCACCTCACCCAAAACATTGACAACGCAGAGCCAAGACTTGATGAATAGGAACTTCCGAAATCCCTCCGTCCGTCTCACTCACTCCGTCCGCCCTATCTCCTCAAGAACCCAAGTGCCGAAGAAACACACTTTCTTCTCAAACCATCATTGGGGAGCGACACCTTCATTCTCGACTGTCATTTCATGCACCTTTAGAAATTGAGATGAGCGTTTGCTACAGTAAGGAAAAGCGAGAAGAGTTTCTCGGTTCTCTGGCATATATTGGCTCCGAAAGTCAAGCCAAGGTAGGGCGCAGTGTGCCAAAAGAAAGAGGGCAAAATCCTCGAGCCTATGGGAACTAGACGCAAGTGGTTCATGTTTTTCCCCCTTCACCTTCTCGCTCGGACCGGGTCACATCAAAATTCAGGATACCGGCTTTCTGGAGATGCCCTCGATGCGTCGGTAGTCTCAGCTCATACAAGGAAGCGTGAGGAGTCTTCTTTAGCTCCCTCAGCAGGACGGCGGTGAGAGGGCACATTGCCTCCTGGCCGCTGCCGGAATGAGGCGTTCCTTCCCCAGACATCTCGCGTCATGATCCACCAAGATTATCTTCTTTGATATGATATGTGAAATTGGGTAGCGCCGGGCTGCATGGAGCTTCTGTATCCGGTATCATCTTCTACTCTCAATGAGTAGATTACGCCCTAGGGAACGAACCACTCGGATGAGGCGAAGGCGCGTCCCGAGACTTTCAGGAATACCTTGAATGACGAAATGATTATTTATCGATGTGGACCTTATGGCTTGGTACTCACAAATCTAATTGAAGGTGAAGACGGGCTGGCGGCAAAGCGTTGAACGGTCTTCATCTCAAGGTCGTATGCAACAGCCCCATCGAAAGGCAGCTGACATCATACTTGATCACCAAGCATATCATAAGCCGTACTCCCACAAACCTCATAATTTTCTCTCATTTCTCGAAAAACCCACTCCCTATCAGCGCGATTCACTCTGCCGCCTACCGACTCAGTTTTCCTTGGCACCTCTCCTAACCTTCTCACACATGGAGAAAGAGTTCACGCCCATCACATCGCTACGAGAACGAGTAGCTCGGCATGTAGGTTTTTCGCTCCATCACCACCTCACCTAGGTACAGCTTTATCCGTCCGTATCCCTTAGCATGTGTCATCAAACCCCGCGGTGGAAAGCTTCTTGCCCTCGGGGAGCTACGACCTACGTAAGAAACGCAACACTTTTCTTCCCACAAAGGCAAGGACCAAGTATGGGACTCCCGGGCTCCCGATCAGTGCACGGGCATGTGTGACATCCCCCAGGTGAAGCTTAAAAACAACGCTCTGCGCACCGTATCTTACCGTATCGTACCGTGCCATAACGTCTTGTGTCCCTCTCGAGTTCTCTTTCCACTTTGGGTAATGGTTCGGCGAACGGAACTTGTTGATGATGGGGGCGTGCCGCTGGAACGGAATGTGATGGCCGTGAGAACGTTCACCGAGGCTTCCCGTAAGATAAGTTTCGTTTTGCTTGCGTCCGACAGCCTAGAGTACTTACTGCGTCCGTTTCACGAAAACAACTGTCCACCCGATTGCAGGACATGCGAGCAAATGCGCGCGAGATCGAAGGACGGGACGGGATTTGGTTACCGCCGGCCTAAGTCACTTTCAGCCTAGAAGACAATGAACCTACTGTCAAGGTGTATCCGGGCATACGTTCTTCCTTGGACACCTCGCAACGACATCACAGTATATGGCAGGCAGTGTCACTTGAAAGACAGATCATGATGTGATAACTTGGCTTATGCAGCCTGGTATTCCATGTGTTCGTAGCTCGTGAGTCTATCCTTTTGGTCCGCATATGGATCGTCCTGGAGCCCGTTTCCCCTTTTATGAAAAAGTCCGCAAACACCATTGTCGGGTATACCCTGAGAGTCGAACCCGACCCAAAATATCATCCAGTGGGGAAAATATTCAGCGAGTGACTACCCCTGAATGTGAAAAGCGAAAGTCCCGAAAAAGAGAAAATGGCTAACTGTATGTACAGCAGAAGAAGAAAAGGGGGAAAGTGTCTGTCCACTTTCTCGAAGTTGCCCACCCGAAATTCCCGGTGAACCAAAAATGCACATTTGCCGTCCCTAGTAATTGTGTGCCAGAATCGAAGAAAGTCAGCCGTTTCTGCTTCAAACTGAGGCAGCGGCGGCATAAACCTGACCGAGGGCGCTCAGGCCAGAGCCGGAGTTGAGAACGCCATCGGAAGCCATGAAATAAGAGTAGCGATCGAGGTACGACAGGCTCTCGAGCTTGGGGACGTTGGTCGAGACGAAGCTGGAGATCTCATCGGTGGTGCCGAAGGGAGCGAACTCGGTCAACCAGACGGGCTTACCGCCACAGGCCTCGTGTACGGCCTCAAGGTGGCTGAAGAGGGTGTCGGCAGCGGTGGAGGGAGAGTACCAGTGGGTGACACAGAAGTCGTAGATGCAGCCTTCAGTTTCGCAGGCAGAGACCCAAGCCTTGAGCCAGTCGAGACCCTGGCCAGCGATGTTGCTGTTGGTGATGGCAGGGGCTCCGATCGTGACATTGTAGTCATTCTTGTAGGAGTTCATGTACTTCTTATGCTGGACAGCAGCTTCGGAGGCAGCAAGGTTGCACTGAGAGGGCATGTCGCACTCGTTGAAGCTCAGAATGTGAGTAGAGCCCTTCTTGATGGAGGCTTTAGCGTTCTCGTCCCAGCGGGCGGTGTGGGTGTCGATAGGACCCCAGAGCATGGGGACGTAGTCGACGCCCGTGGCAGTGATGCCGTTGTCAGCAGAGTCCCAGTTGTAGGCCCAGCCGCAGTTCTGGGTGGTGCCCGAGAAGAAGGCGTTGACCTTGGTGGGATCGTTGTAAGCGACACCACGCTTCTTGACCTTTTCGGAGTTGGAGCTGGAGCTGACGACGGCTGAAGCAGTTGCCTTGGCGGAGGAAGTAGAAGGCACAGCGGCAACAGCGACGGCGGCCTCAGAGAAGGCTTCAGCGACAGGAGCCTGGGAAGACGACTTGGGAGCAACCGACTTGACGAGAGTGGTGCTGGGGGTGGCATAGACCGGGGTAGGAGTGGGAGTAGGGATCACGACAATGGAGGTAGAAGTCGTGGTGGGAGTGTACTGGGCCTCGGGGGCCGCAGGCTGAGGAGTAGGAGTGGGCGTAGGGGTGGGAGTGGCGGCGGGAACCGACTCGTCACCACCGACAGTGATGGTGACCCATTCAGTGACAACATCGATCTTGAGAGCGCGCTTGTCCTGGTGAATGTGACGATGAGCGTTGAAAGCCATGGCCTGCTGGACGAGGGCGAGCGAGGCAGCGCCGACGGAAAGAGCCTGCTTGGTGTACATCTTGGCTGATTCCGAGTGGTGTTGTACTTGTATGAGGGGTTTGTGAAATTGATGGGTGAGATTTGTGTTGAGCGAGGAAGGTGCTTGTAGGAAAAGCTGTTGACAAATTCTTTCTCGACGAGGTTGGCGATGTGTGAAGTACCGGCCTTGGAAGGAGGGTGGGAAGTCACTGGATACACAGAAGGAGTGGTGTATTCTTGTTGCTGGTTGTTCGGTCTGTCAAAGACGCGAAAAAAGAAAGTGGTGTGCGGTTGTTGCTGATGAGTTGGGTTGACAACGAACTGCTTTTGTACGGAAGGTCGAGGCTGGCGACCGTTGGTGAAGGAATGTGTTGTTGACTGAAGAAGGGACAGGCAAGCCGGTTGGTGTGAGGAGGGGGAAACAACAAGAAGGGAGAGTGTGGGGGAGGAAGGGAGTTTAAGAAGGCAAGTGACTGGGTGCCGGGAAGGAAACAAATTCAAGCAGGGACGAGGGAAGGAAACATGGGAAGGTGAGGTCGACCAGGAGGAAGGAGCGTGGGAAACGATCGGTTGTGGGTAGGTAGGAGGCACTTCAGATGCAGGTGCAGTTGGGATGCGGGAAGCAGGTGCGGACTGTGGATCCCGACCCATCGGGGCTACAAAGAAGAGAGACAGACAGTACTTCGTACGGATGCGCCAGCAAAAAGACACCACCCATAGATGGCAGAGGTACGACTCTGACTGGAGCCAACGGGGCTGATTTTCGATTCACCACAAGGAAGGAGGGAGGAGGTACAAACCACCGTGGTGACCCCTTCCTCCGTACCTGCCTATCCGCGCGCACTAGGAGAGACAGGGGGCAAGCGGGCCGGATGTATCGCGCTTTCCGGGAAGGGATGTGGTGCGGTAGTGGTCGCTCCTGCCAGTTACAACCGTGGCAGGTGGATCGTGCCCTTGTTGGGCCACTCGTCTTCCTGATGGAGTTACGTACCTCCCTGACCTGCGGCCCTTTTTGGTTGGTGCTGTTCACATCGCTGTCGTGGTTGACAGCTAAGGTATCCGTAAGGTACACATTTCAACGATTCTTCTCTTCGCTGGACCTGCATGGGGGAAAAACCCCCTTCTACGTGGTCGCCCACATGTGATTAATATCTACGCAGTAAGTGCTCTGTACTCCGTAACTTTATGGATCTTACGGAGTAGAGTGGGACCTGCCCCCCTCGGGCAGTTCATCAGAGCTTTTTGTCCCATTGCTTCGTCCGATTTCTTGTCCAGATTCTGTTTTTTTGCCGGGGGGATCAGCGACTCACAGGCCATGCTTTTTTCTGCAGATCCTGGCCAATTTTGTGGTTCCTGCTTGGTCCCCCTGTGGTCTGGACACTATGGATCTTCCTAGACTGAACTGACTGACTCTTTGGCAGACGGGAGAGGCACTCAGCACAACCGGGATGGTGTGCTGGCGTTGCGTCCTGATGACAGATGATTACCCAGGAGTTCCTCGACTCTGCAACCTCGATCCCCTCCAAAAAATTGCTGCCCGGAGCGGAGAACCCAAGGAACTACCGTGGTGAATCGTGGGCTGGCAGCATCAGAGACATCCACAGTGACATAAGACACATTCCAAGCAGGTCAGTCACCACAATTCAACTCAATGCCATTGTTCAATTGCCAAGGATCTGTGTTCCAGCACCAAAGGTCCATTTCCTTTTTCCAGCTACTACTTGGGCTCTATTCCTTAATTAATGGAGTCTCGGTTTCACTGGCTTCTGGCTCACCAACTCTAGGGCATTGGTAAATTGACCAGATCCAGCTTCAATAGCTAGTCGAATGGTGCCAAACGAGGGAGAAACGAATAGTCACATCTGGATTGTTTTGGGTTGCCGCCCACTCACACCTCAGTGACGGACTAGCGCTCGCATACGACTTTTTCCCGCCCTTCCACTCCTGGGCTGGCCTTTTTCGCCAGCTTCAAGTTCTCAGTAACACCAAGCAGCAAAGAGCCAAGAAGAGGGGGGAAGGTTTGCTGCTTAGAAGTTGGAAGAATGGCCCATGGAAGAGCCAACGGCTGAGCGGCGAATGGACCAAGAAGCGCCATTTTCACCCCTGGCTTATGCAGGAACGGGGGGCAAATGCTGCAGGAACCGGCACCACGGCGCAACCTTGGAAACACCGGGCGCCAAGGATACGTCGCTGGATACGACCTCGTCTCGTATCTTTTGAGTGCCATCGCGGCTAAAAGATACCCCCACATCAGAGTCGCCTTCCTTGCTTATCCCCTCAACCGCCGGCCCCCCTTCTCCATCCGACCCAGTCGTGCCAGTCAGCGGCTGCAAGAAGTTGATGCACGCACTGGCTGGCGAGAAAGGCACAGGTGACAGCTGATGGTAGGTGAGAATCAGAATGTCGTTTTGTCCCTCCAGACCTACGAAGTACCTACCATCGCCTAGGTATTCACATCTGTTGCCATTTCAACCGTTGAGTTTAGCACTTTAGGCTCGACTGGCTAGCCGCGTTGCTGAGTGCAACAGGAAAGTTCCGCTCGGGTCAGTGGTTGAATACCTTATCTGTGCCTCCGCCAACATCTTAGTCGCTCTGCTATTGATGACACTTTCTTGCTGCAGAAAAATCCCTCGCTTTTCGCCTCCAACACCAAGTCACTGTTCTCTCTCCAACATCGTCATTATTGCCTTGGCCCCCGCTCCCTCTCCTCCCTCGGTCGATATCCATAGCCTATGGCTTTCTCATGGCAAGAGTCCCACGCTATCACCAGGGAGACGTACAAAATTGTCAGCGTTAGCCATAGCATGACTTCCGCCGGACATTGCCGCTCAGGAAAACCCCTTCATCGTCTCGCTTGCCCTTGTGTGGCCCTCGGTGAAGCCTCTGAGCCAACGAGTCACCTTCCTTGAGAGGGAGGGGAGGCTTCTTTGAGCGACTGCGCGGCGCTGGCCACGAGTCCAATACTGACGAGGCCCTCCGGCTGAACGTGAACAGTCTCAGTTGGCCTGGCGAATGGCTTCGGTTGGCAGGGCGGGCCCTACGACCACCTTTCGTATCCAGTCCCGCAGCGCCCAGCATCAGACGAACAAAGGATGACAACGGTCGACTTGGGACGGCAGCCCCGCGCTTGGGACAATCCGAAGGACTGATGCCATTGCCATGGGAGAATGGGTCCAATCCGAGCCGACTATTCGTGTGAGCACGATAAGACCCGCGCTTTTGACCCGTTTCACCACTTTGGGCTGGCCCCACGTTGTCGTCGTCTTGACCCTGTACGCCTATTCCTCTTTGCGGCTAGCCGGTTACGTGGAGCCAGATGGATCGCCAGGAAGAATCGGCCGCGCACCAAGTCCAGACTCTCAGCGTGGGAGATGGAGTCGACTCGGGGGATTCCACGACTGCTCGACAGCGTCAGACCTGGCAGGGCCAGCAATCCGGGCAAGCCAGACCCCAGGGCGCCGGCTGTGAAACCCTAAGCGAAATGAGCTTCCGCCGCCACGGGGCACACGTCCAGCGAATCCCATCCATCAGAGGGCCATTTCACTCTAACACAACGCCCATTTTGGCACTTCACTTCCACCTGTCTGGCCCTTTTCTGACAGCCGCCCACATTCCTCGCCCAGTCTGTCCCGTTACTTCCCTGCTCGCCCTGACGAAGAGCCGATGAGGCCAGCGGCCAGCGGCCAGCCCTCCGGATCATCCAAAGCTTGTTAGTTGAGCAGGATTTCGTCCTCCAGCCCAGGGCAGGACGTGCCGGGATGCGACAGCAAGGGCTACACTGCGCCACGCCGAGGCTAGAGCCTCGGAATGTCACCCGGCTCCATGACCCGGGACTGCCATGCCGGCCGCTGTCCTCCATCAGGGCATTTAATACCGTTCTGGACGCTCAGATCATCCTGGCTCACTGCCAGTTTGCCAGGCTTAGTGGCTCAGAGGCTGAAGCCGACTTCCATAGCACGCGACTCAGAGCCCTGGCCCGCGCAAGGTCCGACAATATCAGGACACGAGGCTTTGCACTTAAATAGTACGATTCATCACGATGTACGTAATCATTTCGGCACTGCCAGCCGTTTAGCTCTGCTTCTTTGTATCTTGTCAAACCCGCTCAATATCATCCAACGCCGGATAGTTGCACCCACGATCCGAACAGCCGACCTTGAGGTTAGCCAGTGAGCAAACGCATTGCTTTCATCCGATGTCAATCTTTAATAAGGTTGTGCTGTATTATGCGCAACAACGAGCGCACAGAGGATACCGACTTCAACGTTGTCCCATAATACTCGCTTTATGGTTACTCTAGCTTCTTCACACTGGAATCCGGCGCGTTTCTTCCCGACATATGTCTTACCTGCAGGCCGCATGCTGCAGGCCACTCCAGCTTCCTTACATCAGCTCTAGGTAAGTAGGTAGGTATTTCTGCGCTTTTCATTCCGTCCAAGGATAATTGTTTCTTGTTCATATGTTCGTCCTCCCACATGTAACAGTGTCGGGCCAGCTGCAGCTATTGGTATCTATTCAAGTCTACTCCTGCAGGATTACCTGCACCATCACCTGCACCTACGCAGTCAGAAAATGAAGCCACCAATGAGCCGGAAAGGTCAACTTAAGGACAGCGGCGTGGCACTCGGCTGCTATGTTTGCTCGGGACACCAAATCAGTTCCAAGAGTCCCACACAGGCTCATCCAACAGCAAGGAAGGCGAAGACCACCATTAACCATAACACAACGGTCCCGGGTTCACAGCTAGGAAAATCGGCACATCACGCCGCGGAATGACTCTTTACCTCGATTAACCGAGACCTTATCCGGTAAACATTTGTCCAGTGAACTGCACTGGCTTGTTTCTGAACGTGGTGAGACCTAGCCGCTACATCCTCCAGGAATTGCATACCCTAGAAGTGCGTCTCTAGGCAAGAAATAGATACCACCCAGCTCCTCAGCATCAATAGACGCCTTTCAGCACTTGCACTTGAAAAACGGTCTCAGATTCGAATCCTCGATGAAGTTGGCGGGATTGGGGACCGAGTTTGTTGTTTCCTGCCTAATATCTCCTCTGTTCCATTGGTGGTGCAGCTAAATGGATCAAACGATCGAGTGTGATCATCACCCGCAATCTCTACAGTATGTTTGAGAGACACTGGGATCTTGAAGGTAAGGTAGAGCACGGCAAATCTTTCCAGCGTTGGGCGTAGAGGAGAGCGGCCGCCTCGTCTCACCCCACGCCGGCAGCCGTTTGTTCTGAAGAGACCCAGTTTCCCACACCACCAACTCGGCGCGGCGAACTAAGTCTGCACTTTATCAATACTATATCAAAGCCTAGATGGCATCGTTCAGTCAACAGGAAGGGACTTTTTCAATCTCCCCAGACAGCCTTGCAAAGCACAGCCTCCACAATACCGAGATCAGTCGCGATTGTTGATGATCAGCAGCCAATCATCTTTGACAACGCTTAATCTAAGACTTGTGGCGGCCTATCAATCGCCCGACGCCCTGCCACGATGACAATATTTCAGGCCACACGTGACATGGCTACCTTGGCACCAGCTTGACCTGAAAGCGACGTCAACTCGATGCAGGTTGACTGTTTGAAGCTATTCATCAATATTGAAACGGTCCAAACCGTCTATAGTCAAATTCACATACTGGCTTCTAGGCCCATTAGCAGTCTGATCAGCTTAGGATTGCAGCATCATGAACACCGCTCGGTCATCACTTCCTCTCATCGCAGCCGCCCCGAGCTTCAATGATTTTGACTATGGGGCCTTCTTCCAAGGTGAAGACATATTACTCGGGGATGAGAATATGTATTCGAGCGAGACGTTTTCCGAGTCACCCACGAACAAAACCTCCGCTACAGGTCCAATCGGAGAAACTTCATTCCAACATGTCCCCGCCCAGAAACAGCGCCTCGAGAGGCGAGGGCATACCAAAAGTCGCAGAGGGTGCTTCAACTGCAAAAGAAGGCGGATCAAGGTAACCCCGCAACTTCATCAGCTACTCTCCCGCATACTGACATTACGTATCAAAGTGCCAAGAGACACATCCATCATGTGGCCACTGTACCAAAATGGGTTTGAAGTGCGAGTATCCCAATGCTCCAACAATCATACACCAGGTTCGTCAAATTCAAAATGTGCAATTCATAGAGACTTTCTAACGTATTGCAACAAGCCACAAAATCAAGTGCCACTGTTCAGCCTTCAAGATATGCGGTTCTTCCAGCACTTCATGCTACAATGCTACCCTCACCACCCTATAGGTAACGAAAACATTTGGACTCATGAGGTTCCATGCTTATCTCAGACCGTAAGTTATCAATGATATGAAACCAGAAGTAACCTGCTCATATATAATCAAGAACGAGTTCCTCATGCACGCGATCCTCGGCATGGCAGCATGCGATCTCATGAATGCAGACCCAAGCCTCCTGGCATTTGCCATGGCACACCGCGTCAAGGCCATAAGAGCCATCAAAAAGTCACTCGCCGAGCTGCCGAAGCAGAGGGGCACGACGTCGGAGCACGCCAACGCCCTCGTCGCGACGTGCTTCGCGCTCACGTTCCAGTCTGTATCGTTAGAGGACGGGATGACTGAGTACATGACCTTTATCCGCGGCATCTTGATCATTGGCACGCAGATGTACATCAAGGGCATCAAGCCCATCTTTGTTAACTTGATGGGAGAGGATTCAAGCGCGGTGCTGGAGCCCAAGATGGTGGATTTGCCGCTGATTCGGAAAGAGTGGGCGGACGGTGCCGTCGAGGCCATTGGCGGGCTGAGAGGACTCTGTCGGGATGGGGTAGAGATTGAGTATTTTGATCTCCTCCTGGACATGGCGGCAAAGCTTCACACTTCATCTTGGAGGGGTAAGTCGTTGCCCCTATGACGCACAGTCACCAGCCTGTTACTCTGCAGGCTTTTGAGAATGAGCACTAACAAACGACTTGTTCCAACAGCGTATCAGACACTTTCAAAGCACTACGGCTGGTGGATCCAGCTTCCGCACGAAAAGTTTCAGCGCGTCATCGACATGAACTCGCAGACGATGGTCCTGCTGGCCAGCCACTGGATCGCGCTGAAGCAGATCATGGCCACGGTGACCAACGCCGAGCATGAGTGTCGCGAGAAGGCGCCGCCCAAGGAGAGTGCCGTGGACCTGGGCATCATCCGGTGGCTGGGGCATCTCAATAGACAGGTTGATCATGAGCATTTGGTGTATAACCGGTGGCCTCTGTGGGTGGAAGAGCAGCTGAACAGGGATCTGACCTTTTTCGGGAAGAAGTTTTGAAAAAGGGTTTGGCAGCGATTATTCAGATGAGGCTGTATTTCATGACGTCGTTACTTCTTCTAAACTGGCTTCGACTTATCCAGAGTCCTCAAGATCAAGACGATCTTCTATCACACTTTCAAAACGAGAGTGACTTCAGTCGTTCAAATGAAACGGTCCATCGTATCCGCAAAGCTGAACACGTTATACCAGACAAGCATCGATGAGCTCAGCATCCAACAGAGAACTCTACTCCTCAGATTCAATGCCCACTTTCTCACTTGTTACCTAACCAAGACCCAAAGAAAACAAGCATAAAGCCCCCCTGGAAGATGGGCCGGGTGGGAGAAGGGATGAGATCTTGTCGATCCTCATTTACAAGGCGACATATCTCGGTGAGTGCCGTTTACAGCCCCACTCATCACCGCCCGCCGGCACTGCCCCTCCCCGTCACCCAGCGCACCGCCCCGGTGGTGGCGTATATGATTGGACGGTTTGGACAAAACGAGGAATACGACGGCCGGAAGTGGGGCCGTGCAAACCAATTGGCATCCGAGAGGATGACTGACGAGGCTTGTATGGACGACAGATTCGGCTGAAGAATGCCCAGTTTTTGTCGATTCTCGATTAGCTACCAAGAAATCAAGACACGCGAGGAACACGGTTGAAAGGCGGACTGGTGGGGGTGGGGTCGGTATTTGTTTTGAAGCAGCTGAGCCTTGGAAAGTGAAGCTTTTTTGGGGGCTGACAGACTACCAATCTTCCCTCAACTTGGCCACCACAGGTCTTAACTCGAGGGCCTACTGCGCATATTACGTCTTGAACTGAGGTTTGTACTCGAAGAATTTCCATTGGTTGGAGACTCGCGGGGCTAATTGATGGAAGATTGAGTTTTGAACCGGTGGAAAGTCCGCACAGAAAAGTCCGCAGTCGTCGCATTCCTCGCATTCGACTGATTTTGGTGGCGGGCAGTGTCTTACTAGGCTTTTCTAGCAAGAGACGGTGTCAGTACGCCTCCCGTCGTATCTCAGTACCATAGTGAATGGAAGCCTCGGGATGCAGGAGAAGAATAAAGTCAAGAGGTGTTCCTTCCTGGTCAGAAAGCAGAACTGCATCTTTCCCGGTGTCCCGCATCGCCTTCCTCTTGTCTACGGCGCCCTCAGACACAATTTTCCCGTCTCAACTTCACAATAAAGACACCTTCAACCTACTAACCTTATCGATTTGAAGACCACCTCAATTGTCTGTGTTCACCATGTCGGCCACGATCGTCGCAGACGGACTTCATACTGTCTCCAGCAATTCGTCGTTGCCCACATATTCCTCAGCAACAGGTATCGAGCTCACAGAATTCTCACCATCAATTTCATCCTCCCCCAGCCTCGCGCCACCCGCTTACGATCAAACTACAACCGTGGTCTCGCGAGGCACGGAAACCGTGCGGAGCAGCGGTGATGGCTCAGAACCTGCTTCCCTGGAAGATGCCTTCACCCCCACAGTACACTTCCAGATCGAAACCACCGGAAAGCAATGGCTGTCGCTCCCCATCGGCACCCGACCAGATCCGATCGCAATCTACCACGTCGAAGCGGGTTCCTGGAGCGCGGAGTCTGTCCCGGCGTACATGTCCCTCCGTTTCTCCCGCAACGACGGAAGCTGCCACCTCCTGAGAGGCGACGACGCATCCCAGACGCCCGTATGCACAACGCTCTACCGCTTCGGGCCGGGGAAGCCTCCCATCTTTCAACCGTCACAGGCCCTCGCGGCGCTTCACGCACCCACGTCTTCCGCTTCTCCTGATTCCTCTTCGACAGAGGCCTCACTCCATGAAGAGCAGACTAGTGGCAGCGAGGCAGACGGGGGCGCAGACCTCCCAATCGTCTCCAAGTCCATCACCTCCCGCACCCAGATCCTGAAGACGCCTCTGGGTATCTTCCAGTGGCGTTACGCCACACGCAAAGAACGAGCTATCGTGCCTGGCGCCGACCAGCTGCTCGTCTGCGAGCTTGTGCAGACCATTGCGCTGGCAGGTGGTAAGAAGATAGAGGAGAGCAGGACGAGGATCGCGCAGTTCGTCCGTGGGAAGGAGACGAGAACTCGAGGTACGGGGCGGACGACGGCGGGGAACGGGGGACGGTTGATGATCGATGTGATGAGGTGGGCTGAGTCGAAGAACGGCGGGAGGGAGGCGGCGGAGGTGCTGATTGTCGCGAGTTGCGTCTGTATGTTGAAGAAGGAGGTTGACCGGAGGAGGATGCAGCAGATGATGATACTTGCGGCTGGGGCTTCTGGAGGAGCGTAGTAGTGATTCTGGAGCCCTATTCAATATTGCGATGTTTGTCTGTCTTCTTTGTGGTTTAGATGGTATTCCCTAATATAATCACTCATGCTCCAATTTGCCATGGTATCCTAGAGGCCGGGCGCGTCCGGTATCGTGTAAGCTCATAGATGATGTAAAGGGGCAAGAGTGGCTGAGACGAGGATTCAGGGGTTGAGTTCCTTTGTGAGTTCTTGCAAGTGATCAGTCGCAACTACAGTCGCAACTACTGCATTCTCATCCGATGATGCTCTAGAGTAGGGGGCAAAATACATATAAACCTCTGACGCGGTGCCTACTTCTTGAATATACAATTGGTCCTGTTCATTCAATGAATTCAGGAAAGCATGATTTTGCATCCCCTGATCCTACGAGTTCTTGAAGGCACAAATCACCTCGACCTAGCTTGATACCTACCTCAGGATGAGTCTCTGGGTTCATCTTGCCACAAACTCACAATGTTCTTGAATAATTGTACAGCCGCACTTGAAAGGATAATGTAAAATTTGCTCCCCATTGCAACGTCGCCATTGGTCTTACCCTCAAGTGCTGAACAGCAGTTGACTTACTCGACTCTCCCCCATGAACGACCACCCCGACATATAGCAAGCCGTGTGATCCAAGATCCAATGAGTCTATAGCTCTATGTCAACTTTGTAAATTCAATGAGCCTAGCAAGTAAGTAAGACGCGCAGGTTCGGCATGAGACCCGGAAGACGAGCTACTTCGTATCGTCTCAGCATGGTTTCTTGCTCAATGAAACCATACGTAGGCGTCTCAAGCCCAACATGGTCATGGAATGTGGCGATCTTGCTGGTTGATCAGTATCCAGATGTCCAATCGAAGACTTGACGACACCAAGCTGTCACCAGTGGTTACAAAGGCCAAGGATTGCATCTAAGACCAAATAAACTGCACTTTAAATATATTCCTGGCGAGACAAGCGTAGCACACAACTACAAGACGTCTCAGCATGGGAAACTTGTACAAGGACTCCTCCAAATGCCCCCCCTTTGTTTTCTGTATGATCTGATTAAGTGCGTCCACCTGAAAGAAGAACACTCACCCAAGGCAGCTACAACTCAGCACACCTGTAATCATCTAGTGAACTCCAGTGCAAGTGGTAAAGGCCTGAATGCTCGCTCGCCAAAGACCGAGGCTACTTGGTTCAGGCATACTTGTATCTGAAAAATGCCTGGCAATGTATAAGCGTGATAGTCATTTTCAATTTCTAAGAGACCCAGCGTGGAAGTACACACATTAAGGTTGAAAAACTGTTCACTCTTTCGCCAACAACTGGGTAGCCTCAGCGTAGTATACAACAGACTCTCAGTTCAGATCAAAGTAACAGTGTGTTTGACCCTAGGAAGAGAGACAGGTATGCATCTTAGCAGCCGCATCACGACGGGGCTCCTCAGTTTTGTCCACCTAGACAGCAATTTTCTTTTAAGTGAATTTGCTAGTTTGGTGTTAGTTTGGTGTTTCCCTCTGAGTTCTCCTTTGTTATACGGTCAATCTCGTTAGCAGTATTAATGGAGCTTGATCTAATAGAGGCAACAGACCAGCTTCGTAGTGGCTATGCCTGCCTTATCCCGGGTTGCCTAGGTATAAAGCGGTGCTCGATAGCACGCACTCACAGAGTTCCGACCGGCCCAAAGCCAGCTCTATTGCCGATAACGGTGTGAAGCTTCAGATAATGACCATGGCTTGAAAGGGTTACTTTCATCTATACGATCTAAATATGGGTACCAACTCAAAGTTGTAAGTTCACTGTAGCGACTTTCCCATGTGGTTCGTCCCTGCATGCTCCGCCATCGTCGTCTGCTTCGTGGGGACGAATACGAGAGGAACGAGGGCCAGTGGAGAAGAGTCGTGAGGTTTTTTTTTTTTTTTTTTTTTTTTTTTTTTTTTTTTTTTGAGGAGTCACTTATGATCTTTGTGGTCAGGGAGGAACTGGTCCGACAAACAAGTTTTCCGCAAAGTTGTCACTACCTTGTGCCCGACCCCAATTGGTGACTGTCGATCGGGTATACATCAGTTGAGGAAATTGCGAGATAAGGACCATCGAAGTGTGACATTCTATAGCTGGACATCAGGAAAGAGACTCCAGCTGGAACCTGCGGCTCTAGTGGCTTCTTATGAATCATCTCGATCTTGAGTGACGTAGAAAAGCTTACACTAAGCTGTAGAGACAAAGACCCTGACCATCAGTCGGAAGAAGAGATATGCCTCCCGCCCACTGATGCTTGGGTCAACGCTGGAAGCTGTTACATCCAGACCATGCCAACAGCGCTAGCCACGCTAGACCTGTAGCTGAAATCTCAACCCCGCACCACCGCCCCAAAAAACGAAGCTATCGTCACCCACCACAACCCACCCTCACAACAAGATCAAAAACATCAAAAAATGAATTCAAAAACATACAACACCAGGTATTCGCTGGTCGTCACCGACCCAACTACTAATCCGGCCCTCATTGGCTTATCTATGGGAGAGCGGACGGGATCCCGAGTTTTCCAATGGGTATGGTCGTATGTGGTGTTTTAGGAAGCAGAGGGTGATTAAGGAGGCAAAGAGAGGGTTATCTCCAACAACTCCATACACGCACTCAATCCAGCCGTGGAAAACACTGGTTGCAATAAGCTACGTGGGTTTCAAGTGTGGACAAATATCTTATTAAAGAAACGCAGAAGTGAAGTAAGATATAAACTTGATAGGGAGGACAGAACCAGCCAGTACGGGTTTAAACTAACGGAAGGCCAACTCCTACGGTCTCGCAACGCTAGAGATCGAGGGAACAAAACAATAACACCAATAGGTCTGGCTCGAGGAAGCAGACCCATGTACCTTACTCTATAACATTACTTCAGGTTACTCCGTCACTGATCAGATACCTGACAGATCTCACCGGTCAGTAGAGAGGTCCTTGATTTGACTGAGGTTCTATGCTTGCACGCCATCTCATCGTTGACATCGCTCAAAAAGTTGGACCCCTTAGCTTCATCGAAACTAAGAGCCCTTGTCAGTGGCTTTGTGTCAAGGATATTCTAAAGCATTCCGCTTCCCCTCATGTTGTGTTTTTCACTGCTCTATGTCCTACATAGAAGAAATTATGCGTGCCAGTCCGAAACTGATCGTACCCGAGCCTTGTCTAAACTGCCAATGGTAGGATAGTAAGGGGAGATACTGGGCTAGGCAGTCGTGAAAGCCCGAGAAAAGAAAGTTGTAGCTGAGATGCATATATAGATCGAGTGAGACCATGAGTATATGCTCCTCCCACGACACATACGTGAATCGAGACTCATACCTTATTGACTGCACTCTGGATGAGTGCTTCAAGCAGCCCACACCAAAAATGAGCAATGAGGTAAACACCCAAGGCCACCCTAATCACGTACCAAACTCGTTCACAACATCAGCCATCACAACAATAACAGGATCCTTGTTTCTACGCGGATACCAATCATATTGCAGTACATCTTCTCAGTCCAGTCAGATATCATAGCAGTACGTGGGAGACCCATTTACCTGGGCGGATCTAAGCATACCTTCTACGAAACTGTCCTTCAGCTTCAGCTACCGGACCACGTCGTCGACAAGAACTTGCCCAAGAACGTGGTTCTCAAGATAGAGTATTCGGAAAAACAGAGAACTCTTCGATCCGGTCAAGACGGACCTTTTCAACAACGAGGCTCTAATTTACGACCGACTTCGGCCGCTGCAAGGAACCGTCATACCGAGATACCTAGGCTTCGCGAGTATCACGAGCAGGAGAGCGCACCTCTTGTCAGATGTTGGCGGGATTCCGATGGTCAAGGACTTGATTCAGCGACAGACTTTGAGGGAATGGTTTTTCGTTCACTGCGTCTCATCCGTCAACATGGCGTTCAGCTGGAATATCTGGACCCGTGTAACGTCCATTTGTGCGGAGATACACTTTACATCGTGGATTTAGAGCATGCTGAGTTGATTCCACCAGACGTCAGCGACGAAGAGGAGAAGGGGGAAGGTTCGCCTCTGTGGGCAGATACAAGGCCTGGTGCATCACGGTCAAATTCGACGAGATGACCTGAAAAGATGGATAGAGTATGACAGGCGTCTTGCCCGCTGACGATATGAGGAAGGGGTAATAGTGGGAAGAGATAATCAGGGGAAAGAGGCCACTGATGGGCAAATTAGTACTAGGGGAAAGGAACTTGGGCTCGAAAGGCCCAGCCTTTGCCAGGCATCAAGCTCCTCTTCAATGTTGAGTGTAGATGATCAGAAGGTGCCCCTTATGGAGAGAGGTGAAGAGCGCAACATCATCAGGTCTGGGTCGTCAGCGTGTCCTCGGGAACTCAGAACGATAGCATATAAACATCATGATTTGCACTCCACTCAAGTTCCTATGTCGTTGCGAAGCACTGATCAACACTCATGGTCAGTCAGTTCAGGCTTGAATGAACTTTTTTGTATTAGTTCTCCAAATCATGGGGTACGCATCCCAAAGTGACATCCGCGGTCGAATACATCAACTCGATGAACTTTTTCGTCTGCTGTCGACCCCTGTTACACCACCCTCATCTCTTTGTATCTGCCCGGCTACAGGTGACGATAGAGATGGCATAAACCTCATTGATAAGTAAAGCAACACCTTTAGTGGTCACAGTTATCACCTGATCCAGACTCTCCTCTTAGCCCTTGTCGGCACCTCGCCCCATCCAATATGCCAAGGTCATCCATCCTGAAGGGACTCAGCACTGCTGGCTGGCACAGGCATCCCGACTTGAACAAAACTAGACCGAGGACCCCTCTGCTTTCTCCTCTTAGCCATGAGATACTACCTACATGCATCTAGATCCCAGACCTCAGCGCCTCGGGACGCCTCTTCCAAAATACAAACCTACACTCACCCACTTACACAATCCATTCACTATCATCACAAAACCAAACAGAGCTTAACGTCCAATATTTCATCAGCAGGCAGAAAAAGGGCTGTATTGTATCGATCTCACCCAAGCCAGCAAGGTTCGCAGCAGAGACAAAACCACCCCACGATCAAAAAGGAATCGTATGGAGTCTCGCGCCCTCGCCACCTTCCCAGCTTCGACTACTATCCACACACACCTTCCCTTTTCCCCAGTTACCAGGCCAGGCCGTCTACTCCTCAAGCCAGGTTCCCAGAATCCTGCCTTCCAAAGCTACACAACTCAAAAATCAAAATAGAACTCCAAATTTCACTCATCCCAATCCCCCATATCGACACATTTGCGCGTCAACATAACAAGATGACGCCAAAAAGAAGACACCGTGATATCCCCCCTTCCCTCCATCTACCACTGGCTACATCCGAGATACGAAAAAGCCAAGAGGTAAGACAGCAAAAAGGGGATAGACCGCAAAATGTCGACTACATACAAGAAGTGAGAAAGAAACAAAGAGCTTCCTCAACTCGAAGACGCGAAATCATCAGGGAAGAAAAAGTCGAGCCAGAAATTCCAGTCGCAAAGGAATCACCTGACACCCATCTCCCTCATATCCCTCCCCATTTCTTTTGTTCTGTTTCCACACCATTGATCGTCTTTTCCGAGTCCATAATCCCTCGCTCAAGTCCCTCCCGTAGACTACTAACGCCTAGATAATCCTCTGCTCTTTACCTCTGTGATGAACGTTGTTGGCATTGAGACAGGGAGATCAGGTGGCGCGCCCGCCTACTCGAGACCTATCGTGAAGATCAAAACAAAGTCGTACTGCGCGGTCGATGCTGATTTCGTAAAAGAAAAAGAAGGTCATTTCATGTCGTTAAAAGTCGTAAAGCTCGTCCAGAAAGGCCCTGGTGTCTCTAATGAGCACCTGGCTTCCTCCCATTGCCCACAAGTCCAGCAAACCATGATGATAGTGTCCATAGATGTGTCTTGCCAGTCGCAAAGTCCACCATTGAAGGGCAGCAAACACTTCGCTTGCCCCTTAGGTGAATCGCGCCAAACCTCTCCATCGGCTAGGTAGCTCGCGCTCCTGCGCAACGCCATAGTTCTCCCCTTCGCAACCGAACCCGCGGTTCTTAAACTGCTCGGGTCCACACGGCATAGCCGCCGCGCCGTGGTTCGAGTTAGGCCTAAGGCCCAGGGGCTCGTCTGCCTTGCGGGCGGTGCGGGAAGTCCAGGCACGGGCTGCCTCGCGGAAGGATCGCCTCGAGTCGTTAGAATCGATGCTACTGCGAGTACTAGCCGCGTAAGAGGGATTCGGGGGCGTGAAGTCAGTGTCCATGGGCATCGGGCCTAGGGAGGACGAGGGCTGGTGCTTGGCGAGCTTGTTGCTTGCGCGGTTCGAGTTACTAAACGACCGGCGAACGAAGACAGTACCTCCACTGACAGCGCGAGGGGGCGGGGGAGGGGGCATGTAGTTGGGAGGAGGCGGAGGTGGCATGTAATTGGGGGGCGGCACGTCTACCGAGGCAGATTGACCGTGAGACCTCTGCTTGCGGAGGCCGGGAATCGAGAGATCGACGGACATGCGGGAAGCGGACTTGCGCAGCTTCTTGGCTGCCGACATATCTTCATCGTTGTCCATGCCGCGTTTCCTGTTTCCGTCGCGCGAGTCTGGCAGAGGCTGAACCTCCTCCGTCGGCGGGAGAGGCCATTGACCAGATACGCGCTCAGCAAAAGACTTCTTGTCCGTAGGAGGCTTGGTCGAGTACGTGGTGGTCGAGGGGTTGAACGAGGGTGGGGGAGGCTGGCGGGTGGAGCGGATAGCATGCGCATCAAAGAAACCGTCCTTCATAAGTTGCTGGTAGCTGGCCATGATCTCGTCTCTGCTGGGCATGCCCGCGCCGTTGTTCGCAAAGTGTGCAGGCATCGCGGCGGCGGTCGGCGCGCCAATGGGACCCAGGCCGTTGCCGTTACCATTACCGCTGCCAAAGCCTCCAGCCCCGCCTCCTTGAGCGAGGAGCTTGCCATCGAGGCTGAGTGGGCGCTTAGCCCCCTTGTCCTTATCCCTGACGAAGCTCAGCTTCTCGCGGAGGCCGCCCCAGAAGCCCTTCTTCCCAACGTGGCTGCTAGCCGAACTGGCGGGTCTCTTGACTTCGCCGTAGGTGATTGTCGGTTGGTGCAGGAGTGGCTGGGACTGCTGATGCAGCGGCTGGTGATGTTGCTGCTGCTGCTGCTGCTGCTGCTGGTACCGAAGTCTCTCAGGCGAGAAGACCCCGGCGTCAGGTGCGTCGACGTAAAAGTCCATGTGGAAACGGCGCGCGATCTCAGTCGAATCCTCGGGGCCGAGGAAGTCGATTGGCGGCGCAGCCGAAGTCCGGTCGTTCATTGACCCTTCCACGAAGCGGGAATTCGCGCGCTGTGCCGACGAGTTTGATCGTTTTGCCGCAGGCCGCTGGCCGTTGGATGTCGATTTACTTGACGGAGGGCCCGTGATCGGGTGGGAGGTCAGCGGACCAGGCGCCGACGGGTCCTCCATTGTTGACATGGGCATTGTTTCGTTTCGTGCTTGGTCCAATGTCTCGTTCAGAAAGGTAGGTAGGTGTTGATTGAGTTTCTCGCGGGTTGTGATGGCCGGCCGAGATCCGACCTTTTTCGTCTGTTCCTCTTTACTTGAGCTGTGGTGAATCGGGGAAAAGACGTAAAACGTCGACGTATCGTGAGACCTTAATGAGCGCAGAGGTGAGGGGAAGGTTTTGTCGGGCGATGCGATGCTGCGGCATCCGAAAGGGTTTTTGTTTACTTTCTGTCGTTACATCTGCTACGCTCCGCACCCGCGCAGGCACGCGGCGCGACCTCTCTGTCGTCGCGGGCTTCTTCCCTGCACAGATGGCAGAGGAGAAGGCGCAATGAGGCGTGTACACGACGGTGTGAGAGTTTGAAGTATTGTTGCAGCGTGGGGTGGGGAGGGAAGAGTGTAGAATTGTTGGAAAGGGAGGGGGGAGATGATACAACGAAGACAAAGTTGGAAGAAAGTAAGGTAAGGCTAGGTACGCGCAAGAGGTCCACGAACCGTGATGGGCTTGAGGCGTGTTGATCTCGTACTACCAAACGTATTGGAAGGGCAACGGCAACCAACAATGGAGGAGCCAGGGGTAGTGCGATTTTTGGGGGGCACGGGGGGGAAACAGACCCGCAAATGGTCCAATGTCGGCCGGGGTTGCTGACCTCTGATGGCTGCTGTTCCCCGAACCAAGGGCCAAAATGGGCAACTGGGGGCCGCGAAAGCACAAAAGGGTGGAATCGACCGTTGCTGCGTTGCTCGGGCAAACAAAACGCGCCCACATTTTCCCATTCGTCCCTGGACGCGCGACCCTCCCGCCCTCCACTTGGCGCGTTGCCCTTCACCGGGCCATCCTCGCCATTCTCACCTTAAAAACTGGCCGAAGAGCATTGGCCACGTGACGCTTGGACCTGCTGCTCCTCCCCTTACATCCAAGGCACGACCATCTCTCACCTCTCACCTCCCACCTCTCACCTCACACACTACCTTGCAGTGCTTACCTTGGGTTGTCATCTATTTACGTCTGCTGGTGCTGTCAATCTAGCTTGATCGTAGCACGCACACACGCTACGCCTCACATATTCCATGCATCTGTTCTCTCGGGCTACCCTTAGTACAGATCTCATCCATCTCACGCTACTGTTCAAGATTGAGATCGACAAAGCTGAGGGGATCCGGCGTTGACACAAGCATGTCGTCGCATCGCATCGCATCACAGACGTAGGGTCCATCCCTCACATGAACCTTGAGGTACTCATCTCACCTATAAAGCCTCACCTCACTTAGCCACATCGAAAAGAGGGCATGCAGAACATGCAGTAGCTTTGAGCATTGGAGCCTTTCCATTTTCCTATACAAAAATTTATAAACGAACTATCTCCATTGCCCACGGGGCACAGTGGAACAAGCCACTGTCAATCCATGCAATACTCCTGCCCAACAAAGACACAAGGAAAAAACAGAGCAAGACCAACGACACATTACAGCTCACTCAGATGTGCTGGTCTTCGTGAACACCAAAAAAGTCGTTTCGTTTTCAATTCCAGTCTGAATCATGATCAAGTAAGACATGGTAGGAAAGTAAAAGATGATCGCTCATGGCCAAGCAAAACGGCCATCAACGTCGTAGGGAGTGTTGAGTGTTGGGAGGAACATAGGGGAAGAAAGTGATTTCCGAAGGGTGCCGTAAATTTGTGAATGATTCCCCGTTGGTATATACAATTCGAAAAGTTGGTCTCCGATCCTGAAAAACGCCCCATTGCCCAAGAACGCTTGGATGCCAAATACCACCCGCCTTTAATACGAAGCCGCCGAAACGCCGTTAAGCAAGTGCAATGGAACCTTATTGAGGGTTGACAATCTTGTAGTAGTCATTTGCCGGCTTGACCCCAAATGTACCATCAGCACGCTTGTACTCGAGCGGATCTTGAACAACGTAGCGGTGGTTGTAGGGAGCGCTGTTGTGGTGGGAGTCTTGCGGGCGTTGTCTGTCGTACAGAGGACGGTTGCTATCAACGAAAGTATCTCCATAGCCACGCTTGGTGCCAGCGCGTGCTGGCTCGTAAACAGGGTTGTGAGAGCTAGGAGGAGCAGCTTCAATGAATTCTGGGCGACTTGTCATCGGAGGAGCAGTGAGCTTCTCGATCGAGGGTAGCATAGGCGGGAGTTTGGTGCCCATGTGCGGGAGGTCAGAAACGGGAGCAAGCTGGCGAGGAGGAAGAGAGTCTCTCCGGTAGTCCGAATCACGCCTGACCATGTCATGATCCCTAGGTCCAGGGCCGTACACAGAAGGAGAAGGCGGCACCATCATGGCAGATGGCCGTCTGTCGTAAGAATCGCGAGGTGTGGGAGGCGGGTTGCTTGAAGCATACTGAGAGCTGGGTCTGCTCGAGTAGCCGTAGCTAGCGGGCTGATACGGCGAAGGCTGCTGGGACTGGTACGAAGCCGTTGTCGGGGAAATGGGCGGCGGCTGCGCTGAAGGCTGGGCGTACTGATGAGGAGGGTACGGTGCGCTCGAGGCATCAGATCCAAATCGCAAGTGAACATTGGTGGAGGGGGCTGGGCCGTATGACATGGGCGGCGGGGGCGGCGGTGGCGGCGCCTGGAAAGTCTCGACTTTGAAGTTATCGATAATGGAGGGTTTGCGTTCCGGAGCAGGCGGGTACGCGGCGCGGTGCTCGCTGCTGTTGCTCGACGACCTCGCCCTAAACTGTTCCGCGTTGCTGCGTATCTCTGGCGTCTGTGTTCTCCTCGCTGTACTTCTGAATTCGTTTTCGGGGTTGGTGTCGAACTCGTTTCCTGTCGGCTTTCCATCGCGCCTGCGCATGCGGACGTCGCGGCGAATACGCACGCGGCATCCCTGCTCGGAGATGGTCTTGCTCAGATTTGTGCTTTCCGTGAGACCAGGGAACTTCTTTGCGCTGAAGACGTTGAACGGCACCGACTTGACAGCCATCCTGTACTTGAAGAAAGGGTTCTCCTCCTCATCTTCCGCGTCGCCCTCCGGGTCCCGATCCTCCGCCCGCTTCACATCTTCATACAGGTGGAAGGCCAAGACATAGCGACCTTCATGACGAACCGAAAGGTCGGGGAACAGGAAATAGCCTGCTTCAGTAGGCCTGTCGAGATAAGCCATACCCGAAACCGGCATGCCAGTCAGTACGGGAGGTGAGGTCGCGGCGGGGGTTTGAACGCGTCCATGAGCCATGGGGCGCGCGGGTGTCAGCTCAGCATAGAGAAAGAAGTTGGCCCGGTAGTTGAAAGTGATATCGGTAGCTTCGGCTCTGGTAGGTCCCTCGTAGACGTGCAACTGCACAACGGGGGGCGGATCGACGGGACGTCTGTCGGCAGCGGCTAGATGGGAAGGTCAGAGGCAATTTCATGATGAATAGTAGAGATACCGAGGCTCTCTTACACTTCTGTCCAGATCCACATGCTCGTGCACGCTCAGGTTGCTGCAGAACCTTTAACTCATACCACATCCTCGTGCCAGATCGCGTCGGTCTGTCCTCATAGCTCTCGGATTCTCCGATGTGGTCCAACTGGACGTGACGGCTGATATCGACAGGCATGGTGGATGTTTATGGGATTGTCGTCGAGATTATTGTCGAAACTACACTTGGTATCAATCGATCCCAACGATCGATAGCCGTGCACAAGTCTAATTAAACGTTAGAAAGCCGAGTTGCACTTAGGTGGCTGATGCAGGAACAAGGCCTCAGTAACGCCTGCATCGTTCTCGATTCTTGGGGGAAAGGGAATCCGGTGAGTTGGATAGTGCCCCGACAGAATGGAACGCAGGGCGCGAGGCCGTTTTCCTCCAGCAGCAACTGGTTCACGTACGTTCAGGCCAGTAAATCAAGCAAAGGCGTTCTTCCCAGTAATAACAGTTCCTTTCGCTTCTTCGATTCCGATCACGAGGTCGTAGAGTGGGTGTTTGGCGACAGTTGACGACAACAACTGCAACGGTGAAGTTGTCGATATTCGCAAACGACTCGGTGGACGGTTGGTGAACAGGAGAGAAGGAAAGAGGAGGACGGGTGGGAATGGGGGTTTGATGAGGGAGACGGATGGGAGAGTGGGTCTAGATGGACTGAAAAGAGTGGGAAGCGAAGGAACGCAATTGGCTTTAGGGGGGGGTGTCAGAGTGTCTGATGGCTGGGACCTGGGCTGGACCGGGACTAGCAGGACTGGGGCAGAGGGGGGGGGGGAGAACTTGAGAAGAGCAAAAGAAGGGGGAGGGGATGAAGGGACAGTGTGAGATATACGGACAGGGGACCAGGGAGTAGGTAGATGAATGGAGATGGACGGGGGGTGGTCGCCTCTCGAGTTGGACGAGAACACACCCAAGGTCGAACGGGGGGCCATTGTGGGTGAGGTGGGATCCATAATATTCTTGGATGCACGCCCAAATAGCAGGGCATAGGACAGGGAGATTCCGCACTGGGTACGGATACCAAGGGTGCCATCTCTACACAGTAGACTCTGGTGTGTGTCTGGGTACGGAATCTAGTACGGGTGTCTATGAATACCTACCGGCTGTGAGGAGTGCATTCCCAGATGATTCCCATTGGCACTGGGTGTGAGTGAGAGAGGGACCCAACGCCTCGGACTGGGGCCCAGCTGACTCGGCGGTAATTGGTAGAGACGAAATGACAATGACGGCCGCTCCAAGGCCCAAACTCAGAAAACCCCCCCAGCCCAGTTTGTTCCCAGTCCACTGGACCCATCTGTCCTGCTGAATCAACTGTGCGTAATTGGTTGAGTTCCTGTTCTGTCTTGGTATCTTGCTTGGTTAACGGTTTACCAGTACGGATACTCTGTAGCCCTCCAGCAGTGCGGTAACTGGACAGATAGCACACACCACCTATCTGAGCCATTCGACCTTTTGTTCCGGTGTGGTGGCGCTGACGGCGCTGATGCCAAGCCGAGTTGGAATGCTCATGGCCCAGCAAAAGATCCATCACTAAACCTTACAGCGCTGCTCGGAAACTCAACCCTCCGTCGCTACGTCCTTGATGGTGAGGTTGAGCCAAAAATGACGGATGAGGATGAGGATGAGTGCCTCCTGGGGTTTTTTTAGGACAAGGGACAAGCCAAGTTTGGAGAAAATGAGAGCCATGGTCCGCACAGCGGTCCTTGCTTCAGTATCCATACGAATTCTTCCCCTCTGGCCGCTCACGCACTCACTCCACTCTGGTCTGCGCGTCTGCTATGGACGGATAGAAACCCAGGCAAGACAGCGGGTGTGAGGTTGGTACAAGGGGGAGAAAAGGGACCAAGAGGTATTTGCCGGTGAAACTGCGGGATTGTGAAGAAGCGAGCCAATTCAGATACCAATGGTTCACGCCCACATCTGCGCAGCCCGCCTTGTACCCAGTGTGAGATAGGCAAAGAGCAGGATGAGAAGAATAGCATCTCAGTCGGCAGGGCACGGACTGATGGGGAAGACGGGGGGGCGTGTGTGGTCGACAGTGAGCCGGAGGCTAGACTCAGGTCTAACCCGTATCCGTCGAGCACTTCGTCGTCCGCACATGGGTCAAGATATGTGCTAATGCTAGCGAAGCGCTGGCTTGAGTTCTTTTGCTGGCGTTTGGTCCTAGTTCGCTTCCAGAGACTGAGATCCCGCGGCGTCCTGTGTCACGGAATGAGAATGGATGATTCCAGCAGGTGAAGAAACTCCATGCTCTCAAAGCAAGGGACAGACTTCTGTTGCATCCTGCCTCTTCTTTCCTTCTGTTCTCTCGCGACGAGGCATCCAGCAGCATCGCGAGTTCAACCCAACATGACCAACATGGTCTCATCTCAAGCGGAAGAGAGACCTCGAAAGGTTGCTGCGCTTATTTCAATAGAGCTTGCGGCTTGCGTGGTGCGTATCCATATTTCCGGATACTTTGCCTAGCTTACGGCAAGGTTTGGCTGATTCCCAGTTGCTTCAACGAGAATGAGTGATCGTCACTGCCCATCTCTTCCGGCCTTGTGGTTCATTGCAGCGTGCGTACCAGTGATTGGACTTGTCTCTCACTAGAGGCGACTGGTAGAGTTCTAGGACCATCCCCGTGGCAGGGCAGAAGAAACCTTTGCTTTTCCCTCGGCCGTGCCAGAAAAGCCACCGAAAGCCAGTGCAGTGCCAACCCAAAAATGCACAAAGAGCCGGAGTCTCGGGTTCGCCTTCGCGGTCGAGGACAGATCCGTCTGCGGCTTTGCCTTGCGATGCTGCTGCTGGTGCTCGTGTTGCTGCTGATGCTAGTGGCACTTGGAGGACGGTGAGCAGTCTGTGAGCAGCATTGAGGCGCGCCCAGTCCAAGGTACGTCCGGTTATGCGAATCTTCACTATGGTGATGAATTATCGTGCCCACAACCTCTCTGGGACTTCTTCTTCGCATCTTGGTTCGTTCTGTGTCCAGTCAACCTCTCACTGTCTTTTCAAGTCGATGCGTGAACGACGAGCACTCTTATTGGCTGCCTATTGAGCAGGCATGACGAGGCCAGGCCACCCTACCAGGGCCAGAGTGCAGAGCAGCAGAAACAGACGAGCCTTCGTTGAAAACTGGACAGTGAATGGAGCTCCCTCTTTCCCTTCTTAGTTACCCGAGCGCGGCCCTCACCCGCCAAACCCGCCCATCCAGGTCAGGGATCTCTTGTCCGTCTTGCTGCTGCATCTGCAGCCTGCAGTCGTTAGGTGCAGGAAGGTGGTGGTGGTGGTGGTGCAGCCTGTAGGTATGCCGCCGGCTCCCCCTCTCACAGACTCACTCTGCAACCCTGGGAAAGCAGCCTCTTGGGAGTCTTGGCCTAGGTATTGTGCCGCTCTCGGCTTTCGCGCAATGTGGCTCGATTCCATGACACTGGACCTCTTCATTCGTTATTTCCGACCCCATTTGTATCCACCCGACCTATCTTGAGCCAATCCGGGTCCGAGTCTTGTCCCAGCCCTTCTCGTCATCCCTGCTCGCCACCATCGCGGGCTCATATGTGTGCCAAGAGGCTAACCCAGCCAAAGGTGCCGGGATTTCAGAAACGCTGCCAATCAACGGCTTCACTTAGCCAGAGGGGCCTGTCACTTGGGTCGCAAGTACAGTGCGAGAGGGGTGGCTGCTCTTTCAAGGGCAGGGGACCGGATGTGCTTGCTTGGCCGCCTCCCAGATTTGATAGAGGCTGTGCTCTGCATCCGTATAACAGTAGATACTTACAGTCATCTCGTTGGTTATGCGTATCCGTAGGCGTCAAGGTTGCGCCAAGGTTACGCCAGAGAAAAAATTGTGCACAACTGCTGTTGTAAAAGATGCCCGCCATGGTGAGACATTCTGTGTGCGCTGCGAGACCTGGCTCGTAGCAGTCCTCATAGTGCTACTCCCACTGGACGGCTATGCTTCGAACCCTTTGAAACATCCCACTGGTGCTTCTGCCGACGCCAACAAGAGAAGACGAGACGTTTTGCTGCATTTCCAGTGTGGGCTACGGTTGCCAAAACACACTATGCTTGTCATGGCCCTCAACAACTGTGCCATCTTGTCCAGCGATCCTCCAAGTTAACCTCTCACCATGAGGGCATGTCGTGCCGCCGTGTCACACGCCCGACCGGCATATCGAGAAGCTCAGGTAACCGTCGAAACGCAAATCCTAGCCGCATGTATCCGTATAACGCACATGAGCCGTCTTGTCCTAGCTGGATGTCCAAATAGGTACTCAAGTACCCTTGCTGGCACAGTCGCATTCTATCCACCTGCGTTAAAGGTGCAAGTGACAAAGCTGGCTTGCTTATACTAACCACAGAAGCGAAACGGGAGCCAAAGTGCTGTCTCTCGACTTCTCGAGGTCCGTAGACATCAGATGGTCTCCAGCCTTGGCATATGTATTTGCCTCTTCTCGAGGCTCGAGCAGTTGTGACCACCCAGAAGAACTCGGACAATGTGGTCAATGGCTCGTGGCAGCAACCGTCCCATCGGGATTGCCAGAGAAAGACCAGAAAAAAGGCAAACCCAAGCATTGGAAGTGCTGTCTTACTCTTTGCTTCTGAACAGGCTTAGCTCCGGTCTGCATCAGTCAAAGTTTCCAGATGAATTAGGAGCGACTTCTCACCTTCGGTCCCAGGGAAATGCCGTGGTACCCGAACAACCGTTTCCGGTCTTCTTGGTGAACGGGCTTTCCGCAGCTGACGGCCCAGCGCCGCAGACATTGCATTTGCGTCATTGTCGATGATACCTGTCAAAAGCAGACAAGGAAGAGAGTTTCTTGACGTGGATGGCGGGTCGTGGACAGCAAATGAACATGGGCTGCGACAACAAGTTCGAGTCCTGAGTCGTGAGTGTGACGGCGTTTCCCTCTGGAAAGACGGGCTTCCCGGTCGTAGGTATCTGCACGCACTGCGCATATCCGTACTGTTACTTGGGGGGAAACTTGGAGCTTGGTGCTTAGATCTCGACTTAGTGAAAACGAAAAATAAGCATACAAGGGAACCATCGAGCTTCCGAGGTAGACTGAATCAGTCGATGCGCTAGCCAAGGACCTTTCCGAGTGATCAGCATCTACCGAGTTCCCATGGGCCCCACCGAGGAGATTTTATATTGTTGGCATTGGCGGACGAGAGGACGAATCGAGAGTGGTCAGGGTCAGGGCAGACGGGGGACTGTGGAGGAGGGCAGGATGAGCAAGTGGGTAAAACCCAGTCTTCAAGTCCAAACTGTAAGGGATCCGTACACTGTGTGTCGGATACCCTCGTAGGCTCGTACGAAAGATTCGGAATGACAGTCCAGGCCCGGCAGGCAGTTGTTCCAAGTCTCCAACCTGGTCGGGCACTTGAATCCTCGACGTTCCCGTAGACAATAGAATTGGAAGCAAGGGCCGGAGTTGATCTTTCCCATATCCCATCCGTTGAATGAAAGAAAAGCCCCCGAGGCTTGGCAGTTGTGAACAGGTGCGGCATCACTGAATGGGGCGCAGACGATAGAATGGAGGGCTGGACTCCTGGAGGCAGACCATAGCAAAGTATGCGTATCCGTATCTGTACAGATTCAGTATAAGGTGGACAATGCGTTGCACAATTACTGCCAAGACCTGCAATTGCAACCCAAGGCCGGCCGGCCGATCGACCGACAGCGAAACGCTTGTGTCTGTGTCTCAAGTAGGGTTGAAGAAGGCAGAAGATACCCGGAGTCTTGAGCTTGTTGAAGACAGAGAAAGCAGCGGCAACAGTTGAAGTGAATAAGCGACCAAAGCCAACGATATACGGACGAGGTACGCACATCCTGTAGGGTGAAGGCTGGTATTATCTGGTACCAACGAATACCTTGGGCGGGGACAGAGTGGATGTGTCGGGACCGAATGAAATAAATGCCAAGAGATGACGGATTCATCCCGTCTTTCTCGGGCTTCGACCGGGCGGCGCTTTGAAGAGGAAGTTGAAATGACAATGCATTGCGGTACAGCCGCAAAACCCTACGATTAATGCTCCCGCTATCCACGATGCCGGGTGTCGGGATGTGGTCGAGGTTGTGGTGTGTGGTATGGAGGAAAAGCTCCCATTTGTGCAAGCACTCTTTTGTTTTCGGGAAGAAGTATTCTGAGCATCCGAGCCGCGCGATTGAGTCTTGGGTGCCGCTGACACACAGGGCCTCTCTCTCTCTCTCTCTCTCTCGCGGTGCCTCGCACCAGACGGAAATAGGAAGCAATCTGGTCGGAACGGTAGGCGAGTATGCAGAGACCAAGCCATCGTGCCATCCAACGACGCGAGGTGCAGAGAGGTGGTAGCGAGGCTCGCGGGGTGGTAGGTAAGCACGTAAGAAACGTGAAGGTGACAAGCCTAGAGGCTAAATTGCTTTGCCACTTCCAGTGCCATAGACGCGGAACCTAGGCGAGGGAAGGGAGGATGGGGGAAGAGGAGCATAAGGGGGTCTCTGGGGGGTACGCTTTGTCCACCGTGTCCAGGTCCGTAGCTTCGGGAGCTGAGTGAGATGAGGTGAGTGGTCAAAGAGAATGAGGAGGTGTCTTGGGTTGGTTATGCAATCCACAGCATCGGGTAACTGCCATCCCAAAGAGACGAGAAACAGTACGAGTCCACATTTCATCCGTTAGACTTGTGCTTATTGGTGAGGCGCATATGCGACAAGATGTGTGCTGCTGACGTTTGGCAGAGCCCGACGAGTCTGAGTTTGAGTCTGAGGTGAGTCTGAGTCTTGAGTCTCAACCAGAGAATTTTGAGTGGATGAGTGGGTGAGTGAAGCTCGGGGATGAGAGTGACTGATGAGTGAGAGTGAGCGAGTGAGTGAATGAAAGAGCGCGTACCTGCCTATCAGAGTGTGCGGAAGGAACGCCGCTCAAGGAGCCCTGGACCTGGCTGAACTTGGGCTGAAGCCTTGACTGAGGATGAGCGAGAGCCTGAGAGGAACTCAAGGGGAAAGAGACGAAATGGGTCAATTGGGGCAGCAGCGGTCCGTTGGTCCCCGCCAAAGACTCCAGTGGTTAGGGTGCTGGCCATGGACTTGGGGGCCATGGACTTGGGAGCCACGGAGCCCTGCGTTGGTCGATGTTGGCTGCGTTGGCTCGAGCCTGCAAACTCCCTGGAATCTCGTTGCTGTCTCCATTGTTTTCGCATCTGTCCAGGATGGCGACGATGGGCCATTTTAGAATTGAGACGGGCAAAATGGAGTCGCCTTTACGGGAATCGTCGCTCACCCGGCGGCCTGAGCGTTTCCTTCTCCCTACTTGTACGGATGCACAGTATTGAGTATAGCCGACCGCGGGTTGCGGACGATGGGTTTCTTGAGTCCACTGCGAGCACGACCTCCCGTCTGGGAGAGCCCGGAAAGCCCACTGAGCCACTCTCTCACTGCGACAGCGGGCAATGATTCCGCCCGCGGGAGCGCGCCAGACTAACTTGACTAAGCGCAAGTGGAAGACTGAAAGTAACCTCTGACGGAGCACGCAGTCTCACTCATCTCATTCCCAGCTGCCCTTGTCCTTGACCCCCGTGAGTGTGCGTGCCTTCTGTCCTCGACCCTTGGCCCAGTGTCTGATGTCTCCCTATCCACCTGGCCCCACCTGTCACTGCCTGCCCCCAGTCCTCGTCATTTTCATCTCATAGCCAATCATGGCCCCCTCTGTCACGTAGTCTCTCCACTTTCCTTGCTACTTCCTGCCTTGGCCCGGTTCAATCTGAGATGCCTCAGTCCGGACTCACAACTGGAAGTGACAGACTGCAACGTGACTGGCCGCCCACTGTCCAGTCGGGTGGACAGTGCCGACACTGTACCTGCGTCCCTTCCCTTGCAACCCTCCTTCCTTCCCACCCCACGCAAGCGAGGGCCAATCTGGATCCACTCCATGGTCCGATTCACAATTCTCCCGCGGAACCTGTACACAGTCTTTCCGGCCCGCTTCCGGCGGCCGACCCTAAATCGTTCAACGTGATTCGACGTTGTATCGTCCACTATCACAAGGGTGGCTCCATTGATCATTTGACTGCTATCGACTGCAAATTCTCGCGATATTTTTTGTCAAGAAAGTCATCTAAGCTAGCTCGCAGCCGACTACTGCATCATGTCACAACGGCCATGCTAGCTTCGGCATCGCCCAGGTGGCCTCTAAACTCAAACCCCCAGAAAGAAACCCGTTCGTTCTCACATCAAACCTCGGATATTGACTAACCTACCTGACCGGCTCCAACATGCCGCTCTGGTCGCGTCCATACATCTGCGGTCCGCCCAGACGTCAATCGAGCAAACCTGTCAAAGTAACCAACAGGGACGCCACGCGACCCTGTTCAACGCCATGACTGGACGCGCTCCCGCGGAAAGGGAATTCGCCGCCCCCGGGAAGGAGGAGCCAAACCAACGGCCTTGGGAATTTCGACAACAAGCCCCCAAGGTACATGGCAAACATCAGCAAGTGTTCCCTTGATTTCACTCGTCATCCTGGGAAGCTGAGGGCAGCAAACACTGGAATATTTGCACGGCAATTTGCGAACCGCGAGTCAAGGATAGGCAGCAAGCGGCACAGCCGACAACGCCTTCCTCCATGGAGATGGTCGCTATTTTTCTCTCGAGGGGGAGAACGCGAGGCTGGCTTCTCCCGTCCGAGCCACGAGGCACGTCTGCGTGCCCGCCATACTGTGCTGAGCGGGGTTAGTGCCAACGACATTGCAACGTAAGGCACTCTTCTACGTGCGGTCATCAAGCACTTAGTAGTCGAGGCTCTTTCTAGGCTCCTCCCCTCTCCAGTGTGAGCAAGACACGGCACGCGTGGAAGAAGACTCAGCCAGTTACGAAACCACGGGCGCAAATCAGTAACTCTTTATGTGCAGGTGGTGACTGAGCACTTGACACTCACCAAAGGAGCGCAACGGCACACTACACATCTAGGACCATATGAAATCTGACCACGCCGCATCGCCGGCAGCGCCATCTCAATTGCCCATCGTCTCTAGCCACTCGTTCGGCTTCAACATTGTGCCAGTGAGATAGATGGCCAATGTTGTGTAACACGATACAAAGAGGTCCAAGGAGGGGAGGGGGTCACTGCCGAAGTTCATGGGCTGAAAAAGGCTATTGGGTTGTCTCCCATATCTGGTGCCTGCTGTCCCTCCCAAGCGCGTCGGACGGTCTCGCCCTAGATCAATTCTTTCTCGCTGCCAGCTTCTCCAGCTCCAACCATCCTGCACCTTCGTATTTCTGGCTAGAATGTTGAGAAAGGGGAAGGCAGTGGGTAGGGTTGGCCGTCCTGCCTCATCGAAGCCTCATATTGTCTTGTCATGGTGGCACAGCATGGTGCGAAATTACCCACCCCCTGGTTGAGAAACCATACGCGAGGGCAAGCAAACAATGTCCCAGCTTCTTAGCATTGCATGATGCACGTGCTCCCACCGCTGACATGATGCGTACTTATGTGTAGAGTGGTATTCACATGGCTCTCGCAGATTTTGGCGCTTGCAGTTGCAGGTCTTCACCGTTTTTTTTTTCTCTCTCTCTTGTCTTCCCCTTATCTCGCAGTTGAGATTGAATGCAATCAACTCTACGTAAATAAATCAATGAATGTGGGTAGAGACTAGATTGTGCCATGTCAATGGAGGCTGCTGCTGCACGAACCCGTTTGCCTCCCCAAGTAAGGATCCCCCGAGACTCGTTCACGAGCACCGTCCGTTTCTCTTTTGTCCAACTTTGAAACTCGTCCAAATGGGCCACCGGTCATCCTAGGGCAAGGTTGTCTCTTCTTTTCTCGATTGACTTCCGGCTTTTTTTTTTTTTTTTCTAATGAGCTGCTTTCCCGCATCCAGAAACGCACACGAGCACACACCACACACGCACACCTCACACAATACAAGGAGAACCTAGAGAGCCGCAGAAGAACCAGAAACATTTTATCTCTCTTGCGCGACGCCTCACTTGAACATGACACCGGCGCTAACTCGGCGCTGGAAACCTCGAGAACCCAGAAACCAAGTAGCCGTGAACCATGGCTTGCATATGCTTCAGCCTACTTACGTGCCTGAACCATCCCTCCAGGTAACCTTGGCCCTTTCTCGATCCTTTCAAATCAAAGGTCGGTTCCAATCCGTCCATGTCTTGGAATCAGTCGGTTTTCTTGGCTCCCCCGCGGGTCGTGGCATACAAGAAAAGGTGGCATCATGTTGCACCAACTGCACAGCAAGGAGAGGACTGGTCACTGAGAGAGAGAGGGGGGGGTTAAATAGTGATTACCTAGAGAGTTCGCGCTCTCCTCCGTCCAAGATCGCTTTTCGTGATACTACCGGTATATGCTATGTACCTAGGTTCTGTCGAGGGAATCATCATCCATCCTTAACGTTCAGTTCGTTCTCGCGTGCTGCTTAGAAATTCAGCACAAGGTTTAGTTTTGCCTTGCACTATGTACGCGGTTTCCCACTTGATCGGTAAGAGAGGGCCCGTCAGCGGCTCTGCAAAAGTTGCTGCTGTTTGGGCTTGTCGTGACTAGGTTCTTGCCTGCTTTTGAGATGGGAGAAAGCCAAAACGTCGGTCGAACCTCTTGAGCGCGAAGAGGCGAGGGAAGGTTAACCTTGCTAAACCACCTCTTCCCCCCCTCCATTCGGGTAATTTTAACTACGTCTTTCTTTTCTCACCCGTCGGGAATCGTCTCAAGACTTATTCTTGAGAGGGAGAAAACCTTCTTTGTACTTTATTGATAGAGACGAGGGGAAAGGGAAGGGGATAGTTTTTCCAAAACCTTGGTAACATTTCCGACTAAAAGATGACCAATGTTGGAGTTTATGAACGGGCTCTCGGGGAATGGCCCAGCTCGTCTTTCTTTGTGAGAAGGTGTCACCGACTTTCTTTCCACCTGCGTTGAAGGGACTTACTCGCGTGAGATCATTGTTGGGTGAATGTACATAGTAATGATGTATAGGGTAAATTGGGGTGAAGAGAGGCACACTACATAATTTCATGGATTTTACCGTGCTTGTGTACGACGCCAGCGCACGAGACCCTTTTCCCACCCAAAAGTCTTTGGTCACTCACTGGTGACGTGACGCTTTGACCTGGGCCCGAGTAAGGAGGCTCAAGTAACCTTTAGCCAAACGATAACGAGATGTAGAGAAAGATGGTGTACCCGGAGACCTAGGGACAGAAAGAAGGTTGTCAAGAAAGTGTGACCGGCATAGCTGAGATCCGCCTTGAAGCTTGCCTCGTGGCGGGATGGATTGGAAGCAAGAAATGGTCGGAGATTGATTGGAATGTCTATCTCGTCGGCTTCCTCCCTGCAGCGAGCACCGGTGAGATGGCACGATTCGAAAGACCAGGACCTCGCTTAGAGAACGATGGTTTGCCACGTGGGGAATTTTGAAAAGTCCGAGGGGCCTGGATTGGACTGCCGTACTAGAGGGACGACTGGGGGAAAGGGGCCTAAGGGGGGTGGGCAGTAGTTTGTTTGCTTTTTTACATTCTTGACGCGATGATGGGAAAGTTCGTTTTTTGTTTGCGGGCGGCGGGCGCAGGCGGCGGGCAGTCCCGCCTTTTGCGAGGTGCGGTTCGTGATAGTTGCTTTTTCTGGGCGAAGGGGACATGTGTCTTGGAGGGGGAGCGTGAGGGGTTTCTCACCTTGGTGGATGAGTTCATGTATGTCTTGTATGCGGTATACGGTTGGCCGGACGAGACCTGGCGTCCGAGGACGCCAAAGTCATGTGGCGGTTCGTTGCTTTCTTGTCTTAAGTGATGGGTTGAGGTGAAGGGTCATGATGTGCCGGCTGCCGGTGAGGGAGTTTCCGTGCTGACGATGATAAAGAGTGACGTCCTGAAATGGAGAGAGTGTGTGGCTAACTTTCGTTGTCATTATCCAGTTCTGGTTGAGTTCTGGCATTGGACCATGCGGTGATTCATCGTCTCCTCTTCATCCCAATACACGGGTCGTCAACATATCCGACTACAGTGGCCGGTGAGTGAAGTCAGCTTCCATTTTGGGCTTGACCGAAAATATTTATCTAGCTCTTACCTGGCCAGTACCTAGCATGGCTTCACGTCGCAAGGCATTTGGCTTGAAGACTAGCCTCTAGTAATATAGGATAACCCAAAAGAAATGTTTTCAAAGTATTACAACTGGACACCAGGTGAATATGCCTCGCGACATATTCTGCTTGGAATAGACCATATCTTCAGGCAATATACAACTCTCTACGAGGGAGGTCGGTACCGTGACTTCTATGTAAATGAGCCACTATGAGATACCATCTATCTTAACGGCGCGGTCTTGTATTCTGGGCACGAGTTCAGTTACAGGCCTGTACACAAGGGCTCTACACAAGCATCACATGTCGTAACGGATATTTAGCTTATCTATTCATGTTAATTGGCCAGAGATCTGTAAAAGAGAGATCGGTGGGCAACAAGCAGTCTGTCTAGAAAGTCCCCTCATCTTCTTGTCCGCGAACGCTTTGCACTCCCTAGCTCGTTCGGAAGTCAGTAATTGAGCATCAAGAAAACGAGCCTTAGAAGAGCCATTTGCTCCCATCAAACGAGAATCAACCTCTTCCCTTTCTTTTTGACATCTTATTCCAACCGGAATATAATGACTGTAGTGGACGGTGGTGACGACTGCGGTCATATCTTAGGTTGGCTACTTCGCCCGACAACCCTTATTCCGGGATCTGCTCGACGCGAACCCTAAGGAAGGGCCATTGAAGGAATCAAGTCTTCGTCTTGCCACCGGTGACATCATAGAGGTGACCTGTCGTCAGATGGTTTGACTGAAAAAGATCGATCGGTCGTCGTATTTAAGGTCCGCGAGAGCAGCGGCAGTGGCGAGACAACCGGGGCAGCAGGGTGACGAAAAGAGAAGTCACGGATGTAGACCCGACGAAAAGCTTGTAGGGGAAGGCAGTAGATGAAACAAGCTGCCACAGCAGTGGTTCACACAATGTTGAGCCTCTTCGTCGTGAAGGCCCGCAATCCTGAGGTTATGAACGACGTGGAAGAAGTTATCTTACACCTCGGACTCCTGATGAGGCTGCCCATCATATTGTCAAGTCTCATGGTTGATTTGAAACCCTCATTCCAGGATCACTACACGATGGAAGAACGGGGTAGCTTTCTCGAGAGAGAGTCTCTAGCTGAAGTGAATCCTACCTTTCAACAGCCCGGAATTAATTAGTAGGAGGAGGGTGTTGGCTGCCTCGGAAGCAGAAGCTAATATCTTGCTCGACGTGGGAATGTATCTAGAGTTAGTCTTCCACAAGAAAGGTCCAGAGGGGAACATTGCTAGTGGGTCCCTTGTTCTGAGCACGTCTACGGAGTGTATAATCCAATGGTTATTCTCTTGTTTGGAGTCTTTATATATATTGGAGTAATTGGTGACCCTATAACCTTTCGACCTTCGGGAACACCCGTCCAATACCCTTTGACTCGCCATCGCCAAGACGGTATCTACCAGGAAAGGTATCCTAAGGGCGGGACTCGAAGAACGCAACTCAAAAGGTGAATAATTTCATTGTCAGTCACAGCTAGAAGAAGGAACCTCTGATTGAATTGTTGATTGCACAAAGCTACAAGAGAGAGTAGTAAAATTGACTAAAGAGCGCGCTATTATTAAGTGTAATCACCTATTGCTAGAGCTGGTAAATATCAGGCAAACAAATTACTTCATTACACATTATCAAACCCTCTCATCCAACTTCAACTCCTTGAAAAGAAACAAACGAATGAGGGTGTTTCCTATCCGTATTCCATCCGGATCATGTGTAAAAGAACATGCTTCATTTCCTTTTTGTTGTTTTCTTCATTGATCACCTATTAATGGCCGAGAATAGTATGGTATTAGGCAAAGGCTACCGGTCATCTTGAATGGGCCGATAAACTGTCCCCTGAGATGAAGACTTCAGTCAAACGACACCATACAGTGTGCTGCTCAAGCTCAATAGCAACTTAAACAGCTGGGGTCGCAGCTGGGGCAGAGGCCGGAGCCGCCGACTTCTCAGGGAAGTATCCGCCCTGGGAGACCCGGCCGTATTGCGTAAAGTAAAGGTTTAAAGCGTTATAATCCCACTTCCTGGACAGCATCAAGAAGACGACGGCGCCGCAGGGGATCATGAGAACGTCCAGAATACCAAAGAAGATGAAGTGAGGCGTGACGCCGATGGTGTTGCCGCCCTCAGAGACACCAAACGCAATCGGGTACAAGAGCCAGAGGAGGTTAAAGTACCCGGCAAGGATCCAGTAGTCTCCCTGAGTTCCCACGCGTTTCGCCCCGACGGTGCCTTCGGCAAAAGCCGACGCCGCCATGACGAGGTAGGCGACGGTGCCAAACACGAAGAAGCCCCACTTGTAGACCGACGGGGTGTAGGCCGAGACGAGGTAGCTAATAACCCAAACCCAGGAGAGGAAGACGTGCCAGACGATAGTTGCCCAGGACGAGTTAGCGACGAGGCCCAGGAGGATGTTGACGATGGGGAAGGCGACGACCCAGTTGATGTACTTGTTGAAGAAGATTTGCCGTGGGGCACCTGAGCGGGAGGTCGTGCCCTGGGTTATGATGGACCAGCCGAGGTTGGAGGCGTTGGAGAAGTACGTGATAGCGCCGACTAGTAGGGCAATGCTGAGGAGGTAGTGGAAGACCTTTTCGTTGCCTCGAGGTTTCCATGAGAGGGCGAAGACGCCGAGCTGATGATGAAGGCATGATTAGGGAGGTTGCACGAGAGACGTTCGGTAGGAAGAACGTACGAAGAAGACAGAATATATGGCTACACAAGTCCACAGCCAATTGGAGCCGTTGACGCTGAGCTGCTCCTCAATACCCGGGGTGGGATTGATGTCGAGCGCCTCGTTGACTCGTTGGAGGATCAAACCCATGGCGGTATTTGAAATGGTCCTTGGTATTATGGGGTATTCCGCAAAGAATGCGTCTGTTTAGCAGAGTCCTCTAGTCGATGTGATGTTGTTCGAGCCTGTTGACGGATCTTGGAAGATTGATACCTAGAGGAACGGCTGAAGAGGAATGAAGGGAAGGTCTTATACTTCTGCTTGAAACTACCCACTCTCCGGCAAGTTGTTAGCACTATACCACTCGACAGTTCCATGATATGAAATGGAGGCTTCAGTGATGTGTAATTGATGCTACCTTCAAGTCCGAGCCCGCCGACAAGTGGACCTTGGCGATGTGAAAGACTTTGTAGCTCAGATGCCGGAGGGACCCGTACCTCTCTCCCGGAGAACGAACTGTCAGGGACGAGGCCGGATGAGACGGGTAGGAGAGACAGAGTGAGTGAACCATAGAAGGTTCCGATATTGTCGAGAATCGCAGCAAACATCTACGAAACAACAAAGCCTTCCGGTCAGGAGACCTTGTCTTGAAGTCAGCCAAGTCGAGGTAAGGTTTGTCAGGATGTAACCGCATGCGTCAAGGTAGTGACATTTAGAGGTCCGCTCCCAGGGCTGCTGGGAAGCACCCTGGTACCTGATGATACTAGCAAGTAGTCTATTTGCTTCCCTCCTACCTCAGCTGGCTGGCCGAGGAGCATGTGTAACGACATGGCCTGCTACCTATGGGGAAGGATGGGTCGACTGTGGAGCCATAAGGTATTGAAGTTATGTGAGCGCCAGAGCCGCTTACACCGAAAGCCGTCCCGGTAGGTGTCCGTCCTCAGAAGTGTACCAGAGAAAGTCGAACGGAACCAGGGCATTCTTGGCTCTGGCAAGGTATGACACCGTACACTCCGTCGATGACCAGGAAAAAAAATCTCAGACATCCTAATATCCTAAGAGTGAGCGAGCCATCGTCGACCACGAGCCACGTACAACTTCTCAACGTGAACACGTCCGGGCTGTACATATACTGTTGCTTCATCGGTGACATTGCTAACTAATATCGTGCTGCTAAAGCCATATACTCCAAGGCGATCGAATGTAGCTCCACGCGTCACACCATTGCTGGGGTCTAGAGATCGACAGAAAAGCAAATGCCGGCCGGGAAAACATGCACAGACACACCGTTCGCAGTTCTCTACCCCACCTGGAACCAATACCGGTAGCCAAACCCTTGCAAAAAGTTCACCTCCCACATGATCCCGGCATTGCACGGAACCAACAGAGGTTCGAAAAAATGACAGTTGAGTCAATTGACCGTTGACGTAATGGCCGCAGATACCATGTCTTTCAAGCTACAGACTGGATGAACAACATCTCACATGATGTGTGGGAAGTCAAAGTAGTGGCTAAACGCCACCCCAAAGGACCTCGCGCTCCGGACTCCCCGGCCGGGGCCAACCGGCAGACGCTCGAAACCATCGGGAAATTCCACGACTTCATCCCGCCGCGATGACTAGAACGCCGAACCTCGTCACAACAGAATGTCGTATCACATCACATCAGCAAGCATATCAATTGGTCTGAAAGTCTAGAAACACTTAATTACCTACATCAGGCGAGGATAAGCGCCCCCCCTCGTTGAACTTACTTTCACACAGATGGAGGGCTAACGTTCCCTTTGTAGGAACGAACTCTACGCGGTCACATTTCTATCTGACCAACCACTGTCTCGCGTAACTGCACCCTTCAGACATCAGCCGTGTGAGAGGTCATGATCTACAGCTCAGAGTTTCCCTACATGTAATCTCAACTCATCATTTCGAAACGTGGAGCTATCCCGCGCTGTCGCAGCCTCGGAGCGAAGTATCGCATCGTGATGCCGCCTCAGTGAATCAAGCCTGCCCCTTCATTCGGTTCCTTTGGGAGCTACACTACACCCGTACAAGAGTATTTACTGCCATTGGCAGCTGTCTCAAATCTACCAAGTAAACCCTCGATATCGCGAGCTGCCCAAATAAAAAAAAGAAACAAATATTACTGCGTCATACCACTTACACTCAGAAGAGGAGGAGGAGGAGGAGGAGGAGGAGGAGGAGGAGGAGGAGGAGGAGGAGGAGGAGGAGGAGGAGGAGGAGGAGGAGGAGGAGGGGGAAAACAGAGATAGGGCTGCGGGTATGGATCCACCAGTGTGCAGGGAAGGAATATGGGCCACGGTTCGACGACAGGGTCACTAAGTGCGGGACAGGGGTGATGTGGATGATACAAGAGAAAGAAACAGAATCCTCCTCTTGCTCGTGATCAGAGAGTACGCGATAATCAGACCACATGAGAGACGAACCCTCTCATCCAACCCGCTGGTTCCGAAAATGCCAGACGAACACCTTCAACGGTAGCAATAATGAATTTCGACTATCAATGCCAAGGAAATCCAGATACAGAATATCCAAGAACGTTGCAGTGCCGGGAAACCCCGAGCTCCGTCCGCAGCGCATTGGCCAAAGGGCGCTTCGCACGTATATTCATACAGTCTACAGCATAATATACATCACAAGCGATTCCATTCTCGTCACCACAACCAGCAGGCGCCCCTCTAGGTTGGGGATCAGGTCAAACTGGGCTGGGTGGGGGAAGGAAGGGTGAAATTTTTTTTTTTTTTTGGATTCAAGCAATAATGATTTTACCTGTTCGTGATTTATGAAGACGAATGCGACCCTCTGGCGCATAACAAAGTGTAGATGTTCGCGCTTCAGCACCGGCACCACTCTAAGACACACACATTTCCGTACACATCGGCCCCCATCATCATCATAATCATTTGAAGGTCTTGACTGTCAATGCTGACTCATGCCTTTCCATCATTTATCATGTACTGTTGCACCGTGTACAGTAACGCTACGTCAAATCTCATGTACATCTATATCGTACATGCATGCGAACCCAGCTAATCCAACACAATTGTCTTGACGACGCGTCTGCTACCACAAACTCGTCGCCACTATGCTTTCGCTCGACTCTCCGTCTATCGACCCAAAGTCTGCTACCGTGGCGCCAACGACCTCTGCTCATACCGGGACAATCCTAGTATCCGGTGCCATAACTCATGTTGCCAGAGAGGCGCAAATTTACCGACATTCTCCCCCTAGTATGTGCCAGGCTGCTTCATCTGCCACACTGCGCTCTTGGCCCGTTCTCGCACGTCTAATTCGCTGTCGTCTTCTAAGCCCTCAAGTTTAGTAAGAAATCCCAACTTCTTAAGCTCGTATGCTCTCTGGGCGCATCCCCGTGCGTCATTGTCGTCGTCCTGCCACGTGAGGTTGCTGATCAAATGACAAAGGGCTACTCGGACTTCCTTGTCCTTGCTATTGAAGTGATTCGCCAATAGCTTGAGCAAGTCTGTTTGTGCAATAACCAGTTGTCGATGGCGCGGAATGCTTGCCGCCATGTGAACGAGAATGAACACAACGGCCTCGATGATCTTGGCCTGGGGGTAAAGGACTCGGGCCTCTCGCCCTGAACCAGTGGACCGTCTTGATGTTGGATGAAGGACCTTGGCTTGGAGCTTTCTGGCCAGGATGTCGAAAAATCTATCCTGCCCCAACTCATTGAAAAGGTAGTCAATCATCTGTGTGGTATCGCTTGACGCATCAGGCTGCGTTCCAGATGCACCTGCTCCGATCAAATTCCTTATGAAGTCGAGGCCCTGCTCCTGAATGGCGAGGTCATCGTTGCGGGCTTTCCGCAAAGGGTTGACTTCGGCCTCGCGAAGAGCTGCCAGTTTCGCCTCGGTTTGACGTAACTTGACCGATCGTTTGCCGTCTGCGTCTTGCGAGCCCAACCACGATTTGGACAACGGATCAGCCTGATCCATCTCGACGTCGCCATCCAAATCGTCTCCAATGTCAACAGCATTCTGCTTGTCCATCTTAGATCTAGCAAGAAACAGAGCATCATCTTCCGTATCGTCACAGATAAGTTGCACAAGCCATCCAGACTCAAGCTCATCCAGACATTGCTTCTTCGTATCCGGGTCAACAGCATGTACGAAATGCTTCAGTGCCCAGAGAGCGTTAAGACGCAATGCTGCATTGAGAGAATGCGCATGCTCGCACAGTATCTTCATAACACCCCGTTCGGCCAGGAGCTGAGATGGTTAGTTTAGTCCACATTTACAGGGGAAATTCCAAGTGTTGCACTCACCTCCCTCATGGGGCTGACTTCAGTGACCAAATTGCAAATCGCAGCAGTGGCAGCAATTTGGACATCCACGTCAGGGTGTCTGAGGAACCGGAATAGGGGCACGGCCACAGCATAGTCCACCAGAGATGTCCTAAGGATACTCACTGAACGCGACAGCATTCTTACAGCGTGACAACCCGCGATCAAGACCGACAGTGGGTTACTGCCGTAGCCAGAATTGTGGTCAGACGCAGATCCATCGCGGATTGGCCCATCTGGTTCGTTTGGTTTACTGCGATCCTTAGGATTTGACGGCTTGCCAGGTGTAGGCGATAATGATTGCACAATGTGAGCAACGACGTCCTCCACGACGAACGCCTTACGATATTCGTCCTTGCCGGCCGCTAGAGCTCCTATCGCCTTCAGTGCACTTTCTCGCATCCGCACTCTGTGGGCTAGGAGTGGCGGCTGTCCTTCTGATCCTAGAGCGCAAGAGGGAGGGGTGCTTTCGGTCTCCATTGCAGTGTCGGCCTGTGGTGACCATACTTTAGCATATGCCGAAGATGGGATCGGTTCATATGCGTCTTTGAGGAGCTTGCTGAAACATTTGACGGCGCCGCAGTCGAAAGCAGCCTTTTGAAGAGGCTCGCTGTCTGTGATAATCCGAGCAAGGATGGCTGGCGTACGCTCCAGTATTGTCCACTTGAGCGCCGCCTCCGCATCAACCAAGGGTGACTTCACGACTGGCGGTGCTGCCTGAAGCTGTTCGAGCATCTCCATGAGAACAGGTACAACCAGAAGACAGAGACTCGTCTCTCTCAGATACTTGCTGCCAAACCCGGATCTGAAAAGGGAAGTGAGGAGATTGGCAGCCATCAGCCGGTCCAAACCCTGCCGCGATCTGACCAAGAGTATCAGCCACGGTATCAGAGGAGTCTCCTGTTCCTCTTCTGGTTCTGTCTCGTTCCCGAACAACTCGAACCGGGAAGTC